TAAGTATGAATCAGTCGCCAAAAGCCTGGATTTTTGGATCACGTGACCACGGGGAGGCTGCAAAGGCCGTAACGCTGAAAAGCTCACTTTTTTTCCAGTGCTGTCGTAACTCTGAATGGTCACTAAACGAACTGTTGTAAGACGAGGACTACCTGTCCCTCGTCGCTAAAAGCCTATTCTCAATCTTTATTTCAATCAAGGATTGACAAAGGGAACTACGTCCAAGCTAAGGATTCTTCTGGCTTAAAGAAAGGGAGTAAAATCCACACATTTCTCCAAGCCGTTGGTTGCTTGGTTTTCTACAGAGACCAAAGCGGCTTTTTTCCCGTGCTGCATTAAAAGAGAGGGAGGAGAACCTGCGGCTCTCCAGATGGTCCTGAGTTCCAACAGTTTCAGGAAGCTGATAGCAAAGATGCTCAGCAATGCCAGGTGGCGCCTCGGCTCTTCTGTCCACCGCCAGGGACAGGCACAAAAAAATCTGCAGGTCCCTGGAACGAACCTACCTGTCGTGAACATTGCCTCTCTCGCATGGCTTTCAGGCTGCCGTTCCAGTGGAGGAGCTGGAAAACTGTCATCAGTTCCTGCCAAGGGAAAGCAGGACAAATCTGAGCATTGTTATCAGCAGACAAAAGGCACGGCTCGGCGTTCCCAAAGCCATTCCATCTCCCCTTGAGCGTTGCTTCCCTTAATATTTGTGCCCTTCAGGTTGTTAACATAAAAGCTACTGAGTGATGCATCGTTCAACAATATGTGGAGGTTTCCCTTTTTTTAAAAAAAAAAAATCCAATTCTGATAATGTCAGTAACAGATTTTCGGTTTACCATCAAATGAATCCACTGTTAATTCCTGAAGCATTTATTATAAAGCAGAGGTGTTAAACTCTCTTGTGGCCCACCACTGGCCAGCAGAGCTAGCGGCAGACTCAGACAGTGAGGAGGGTTGGGGAGGAACCTGGTCCAATCCTGGAGTCTGGGGAAGGCTCTGAGGAGGGCTCTGTGTCAGAGACAGAGAGGGGGCCAGGGCTGTCTGACAATTATAAGCTGCTTTCACAGTCAGACATCTGTGAGGCAGACGAACAGCTGGAGCCTGTTCCCAGTGTGCACATGCGCAGAGCGGCCAGACAAAGGGAACAGCTAAGGAACAAGGGTCGACTTGGGAGTAAGGCCACAGGTGGACGGTGAATGGCCCCTCCCAGAGGGAATAAAAGAGGAGCAACAGGGGAGTGGAATTTGCAGGTGACAATTAGTTCATTCCTGCATTCCTGCCAAGTATTGCGGAGGCTGAAAGATATCGGCCTGGCCCCTCTCCAAGCCTGATCAAGGTTGG